CCCGATATGTCGTTTCAGCGATCGAGAACGATTCTCTTGCGAGATTCCGGAGCCGCTCGATCGTGTAGCTCCGAAGAATCAGTGGAATTGGCTCTTCCTGCTACACGAATATGTTCCGTGAAATGAGATTTTTCATACGGACACGGCTGACCTACTTAGATAAGAAGCACGTCGTAGCTATCATTTTCTGGAGACCGGCGAATCTCGTAGACTTTCACGAAGGCTGCATCGAGAGGAGAAAGCTTCTCCTCTCTGACTTTTCTCTCGGCCTCTGTTAGCCAACTACAACCTAATGGAACGATCCATCTAGCTTGACAGCGCGAGGACGTCGTCGATATCTGAAACAACGCTAATATCCTTCGACATTCATCACTATTCTATTAACTCGATCAATTTTTCACGTATCTCGCAACTGTCAGATCTCGCGACGGACGACTTTTTCACAACTCTACCTCCTTCCCCCAGAGTGATTCGGAAACTCGTGCCCTCTTCGTCATATACCGTCGAGTCAAATATACCGAGCTGTCCGTATTCTCCGCATCGCGTTGAACCCCTTTCAGATATTGAAACGAGACATGTCTGCGCTATTTTATTACACAACGATTTTCGTTATCGCGTTCGAAAAACGCGCGCATATTTCCTCCTAACCCAAGCCTGCCAAGCCCCTCGAATAAATCCCTCGTTCTAAATCCTCCGAGCAAGCCTCCCAAAATAACTGATCCCGTAATTGGTACACGAGGACCACTCCCCGCTACTTCTCATAATTAAGGATCCTGCTAATCTCGTTTTCCCGTTCGAGGGCGGCGATCTCTTTCTTTTTGCCCGACTTCAGTGCGCCGCGCCATACGCCGCGCAGATTAAGCGAACGATCGGCGAATTCTCCCCCTAGGTGTAAAAGAAAACTCACGAGATACGATAACGGCGCCCTTTCCGTTCGAGCCCTTCGCCGCCGCCGCCGCGAATCTTATTCCCGGTTAACGTTCCTTCAAGCTCTAGCGTAAGCAACGTATACAACCCCGAGCGATTTATAGCGGCAATATTCGTCAAACCACCGTGAAGGAAATAAGGGTGGTCCGATAAAAGGCAGGCGGAACCGGGAGAATCGGGGGGAGGGGGGGAAGAGATACGCGATATTCCGCGGCCGATCTCGCCGACTAACGAGAGTCCCATCCCGCCACTGCAGGTGGCGGAATTAAAGACGCTGCCGCCACAATATAAGAAAGAACAGTAGGTTCACTCAACACAAAATAATGCGAACGGTCGTTTGTCGCGCATGACCGAACTGCACAATCAACAATATGGCGGCCAATAGCTGTCAAAATGTGTAAGTGTAAGCAACGATTAATCATATGACCAAATTTTTAATATAATATTGTTTTATTAAAATCAGTAAAATGAATGAAAGAGGTGGATATAAATGCTGTATATAATAAACTGCAAAAGTGCAAATTTAAACTTGCAAAGTGTTAAATTTTGTTTTAATCAAAATGTGTCCCCTTCGAAACAGTATACTATAAAAAAAGGCGGACCTCAATATCATTTAGTTTTCGAGATTTTTTTACCTGTTACGTTTGAAATTTAGCACCCTGTATATATATATACACATCTTTCTATATTATAATTAGTAATATGCTATATATTATTAATTATAATATTATTAACATATTATATTAATAATGTATTAATTAATAATAGTTCATACTTTTATATTATCTTATAATGCACATTATAGATTTGATAGTGAATATTGAAAAACAGCAATAAATCTGTTTCAGCTACTATTCGTTGTCATTCAAATTATAACCCGCGCACAACCAATATAACCAATATAACAAATGGCGGTCTTGTAGCACCTGAGATCAAAAGCACCGCCACCGAGTGAACCTACTACTGTTCTTTCTTACACTGTGCTGCCGCGGTACAAGCCACGCTGCTCGAGCAAATGGCGATTCCTCGAGCGATTCCAGCTTACGCGAAAATACCCCGAGTATATTTCGGTCTATCAATGTGTCGATTTAAAGAGATGTCGCGCGTGAGCTGCTGCTGCTGCTGCCGGTACTCGATAACGCGCGACGACGTCGCGACAACGTCGGAGCGTGGGATCGATCGGCGGAATCGGTTCGAATTCGTGGCCGCCGCAGTCGGGAGATTAACCGCCTGTAATTCGTACTACGCCCTAACTGCGCCAGCTGGCCAGGCTGCCTTTACGCGCGCGCGCATTATCCCGCATTATCTACCTCTGATGTCCGGCGATATCGCAAATTCTCGAAGGCTCTACGGCCCGCTATTATCGCGCCTGGATTTCGCTCGCTGCTACGCTAGGTGAGAGCTGGCCGCGGTTGCTTTTCGCGTTAGATATTATAATGAGCCGCAGGCAAGAGTGCATCGTGCAATTCCGCGGCGAGCGAAACGCATGGGAGCAAATGCGATCTTAAGGAGAGCCCTCGGAATACATTTTCGCGCCAAGCGAAAGGGACAGAGAAAGAGACTTCGAGAGAAGCATTCGAGGTTTGTCCGCGGCGGAAGGACACTCAGGAAAAGTGTCGCCCGAGACTCCGGCGATATCGTATCTTCGGGGTATTTTCGGGGACGGTTCTCTTTCACGGATCTTTACGTTCGCGACGTTCGCGCAATTCGCGGTGAAAGTGATCGCGAAAGTAAAAACGGACTCGCGTATACGTATTTTTGGAACCGCGCGGCCCTTTACACAATTTCATCAAAGGTATCTCTGAATATTTAGCGTCACCGCGGCAGAGATATGGAGATGACTCACGCGATCCGGAATTACACACTTTGTGTGCGCATGTGTGTCTGTGTGTGCGTATCAAGAAACCGCCCTCGTATTTTCCGTCGTACCTTGAGTTGAAAGCATGTAATATTAATAAGAGAAACGATAATGACGGAGTGAGTGAGCGTACCAATCCAAGTTTGCGTACGATGTGCGTCATGCGAGTATCATCATCCCGAGGAAAGTTTGGAACTTTTAGCGAATTAAGTCATTCAAAGGACTGGAAAGAAGTTGATATATCGGGTGTATCTGACCACCCGTCCATCTCGATTATTTTGTAAACGCGACATTTTAGAAAAAATGTATCAGAAAAAAGTATAGTTTTAAGGGGAACATAAAACGGTTGTATCAGTTTGTTTATAGAAAGTGGCGTTTGGCGCCACTTTCGAGATATTCACTGATCATTACTTTTCTTAAATAGAAATCCCAATTGTTTATTATATCATCTTTTTCTGCCAATTAATTTGAACAATTTTTGTCTAAAATATTTTTTTATTTGCCTAATATTTTTTGAGATATTTAAGGAAAAGTTGGTAACTTTTTCAACATTTAACTTACGATAACTCGCTAACTGCTTATTGGAAGAAAATATGGTATAAGTAAACTTTTTTACTCTATTTAGTCTCAAGAATATATTGCTGTAGTAATGCCCTAACTTTTGTTAATTTATCGATTTCTGGAAATTTTAAAATTATCAAATTAGTCAAAAATCAGGGCTCTATTGTAATAATATATTCTTGAAACCAAATACAGTAAAACGGTCTAATACCATTTTTTCTTTCAATAAACAGTTAATAAGATATCGTAAAAGTTAAAATGTTAAATGTTGAAAAAGTTACCAAATTTTCTTTAAGTATCTCAAAAAATATTAAGTAAATAAAAAAATGTTTCAGACACAAATTGTTCAAATTAATTGGTAGGAAAAAATTATATAATAAAAAGTTGGGATTTCCATTTAAGAAAAGTAATGATCAGTGAATATCTCGAAGGTGACGCCATCTGTAAACAAACTGATATATAGTTGTTTTATGTTCCTCTTGAAACCAAACAATTTTTCTCTGAAATATTTTTTTCTAAAATGTCGCGTTTACAAACAAATCGAGGTGTGGTCAGGTACACCCGGTATATTCCATCGACGATTCAACCCGGTAGTATGGTGAATATTTCGAAACAAATATTACCGCGCGCGCGCGCGCACGATCAAACACAAGAATATTCGACGTAGTCTCGCCACGTAATTTGAATCCCGGGTAGCCGAGCAAATCCGTCACACCAAAAGCGCGAAGATATTTGATTTTCTTGGGTTTCGATTCCTCCGTGTGTGCCGTCTGGAAGGTGGTGGCTCTGCGTTCCCGACGAAGCGTGAACACCGCCAACTGGATCCCCCGCGCGTAGTCGGTCTCGCGCGTTTCAGATCAAAGCTCATGGCTATCGATTCTTGCTGCCCCCCCACCCGCCCTCTCTCTCTCTCTCTCTCTCTCTCTGTCTCTCTGTCTCTCTCTCTTTTTCTCTGCTCTGCCTAACGACGAGCTAACCGCGTTTATGCCTACGACGAACGGCACGAAAAAACCGCCACCGTGTCACTCGACACCGGCCGAGAGTTTCGGACATCCGCTTGGTACAACGAGCCGTCCGCGTCGGTGTACTTATCACAGATGACAGCGACACACTCGCTGATGAATCGCGTCGCGATCGCGATAGAATTTCATGCCCGACCGCGTCTCGTCCAGTCCCGCGTGTCATCTACGCCTACGCGTGGCAGTATTGAAGTACAGCGACGAGAAATACGCCGGTACACTGCAAACCCGAGTGTGTTATTTTGACGCGTATAAGCGTCCTTTACGCGTATCTTGTCTTGTCTGAAATCACGTTGTTTAACGCGTTAAGTGATATCGAAATGCATCAAATGACGTGATTTCAGACAAGACAAGAAACGCATGAGGAAAGCTTCAGCTTATACGTGTCAAAATAACACACTCGGGTTTGCGGTGTATTCTGTGCTACCCCCGCCGGCCGTAAATACCCCGGGCCTTGCTCGCGCCCTCGGATTATAATCTCCTCGTCTCCTCGGTTTTCACTTTCGATTCTACTTTTTACTGCACGGCCACACACGAGGGGGATGTAACGCTCGTAAGTCTCGCGACGCGTGGTGTAGCGAGGAGTGCCAGCAAGAGTCAGCTCAAAGGTGGATTTTTTTTCCGTTCGGTTGCAGAGCGAGGGAAAATGTCGGCCGAGGTGAGGGCTCGTCGACCCACCATGCCGACGATTCCGCACTCCAAGAGACCCACGATCCTGGTGTATCCGACGGGTAAGAATATAGTCATAATACTAACTCGATCGAATTACGTCTAATTCCGCGGACGGACGCGGCGGAGGGCCGTTTGTTTCATTTCATTGTCGTTATGTCGCATCGCGCTCATCTCGTTTCCTATTGGGAGTACAAATTAGTTCGGTCCGTTTTTTTGTGTTAAAGATATATTTATTTCAAAACAAAATGAATGAACGGATCAATTAAAATATTTTCCATCGCTGGCTACTACTTTCTCCCACTTCTCAGGCAATTTTCGAATTCCATCTCGAAAAAATGACTCGTCTTTTGCGGCGATCCAAGTTTGGAGCCAATTTTCGATTTCTGCGAAAGAAGTGAACCGGTGACCTGCCAAATCGTGCTGCATCCTTCGGAACAACCAGTAATCAGAAGGAGCAATGTCCGGAGAATACGGCGGGTGCGGTAAAACATCCCATTTGAGCGTTTCCAAATATTTTTTTACGACTTTTGCGACATGAGGCCGAGCGTTGTCATGAAGAACGCCTTTCAACGTCTCTCGGTTTCAGTTCATAAAGCACCCAATTTCCTTTGTTTTTGAATAATTCCCATGTCTCTCAATCGTACGGAAACGCTTGTTGAGCGTTGATCCCACTCCCAATGATTCTGCAAGCCTCCTCTTGCGTTTGACTCTGATCTTCTTCGAGCAATGCCTCTAATTCTTTGTCCTCGAATTTTTTTGGCTGTCCAGAGCGAGGCTTGTCTTCGACGCTGAAATCTCCAACCTTGAAACGTCGAAACCATTCCCTACATGATTTATCAGTTGGAGCAGCGTCACCATAAACTTCAACAAGCATTCGATGGGCTTCAGCTGCACTTTTCTTCCAATTAAAGCAGAAAATTAAAACCTCCCGCAAATGCTGCTTGGTTAACACAAAATTCGACATTTTCAACACTGTAAAAAGCAAGGTTTTTGTATGAAACTCAAAGCGATATAAACTGAATATTATTGGCAGATGTCTAACCTCTCTGAAACCGCCAAAATTGGCAGTCACTATGAACCATTCATAACAGCCGGAGCCATCTTTTGAAAACGGACCGAACTAATTTGTACATCCAATACATGCGATATATATCGGGCAACGAAGGATGTTGCTTAATTAGACACTTGTATGAAGTGTCAGGTTTTCGCCCGCGACTCTGACAAACTACTCAAACGAGTAGTTGAAGGAGGAAGGCGCAGCTGGGAGAGACGGAGAGGGAAACTGACAACGGGTTGTGATAATGTAATTAGTGTCAGCCGCTCGCTTGTTGTGCAAAGTGAATCGCGAGAAACACGAGCCCGGTTTAGAAGCTAATACAATTAGACAATGACATTATCCGACTTGTGTTCGTCGATTAAGGAGGTTTGGGGCCCTGTCGTGATAAATCACCGTCACTCGCTTTCATCGATAAGCGGATCGGCATGGAAATAACACGGGAATAACGGGTAACTCCGGGTTAGCCTGAGTAATTTGAAATTGATTTTTTCGTAACGGCGGCTCGAGAGATTCTCAATTAAATCTTTTTGGACATAAAGAGGACACGCTTCCGGAGAAGTAAAGTGCTTTTAGCGTGTCGGCGAAGTGACAGAATCATTTACGTCACGACTTTTTCTCCCCCCCCCCCCTCTCTCTCTCTCTCTCTCTCTCTCTCTCTCTCTCTCTCTCTCTCCGTCTCCCTTTCTCTCTTTCTCTGTTTCTATCTCCCTCCATCGTAGTAATTACATTGACGTGAAAACTCCCCGGGAAGGAACTTCAGATTTCGCGTAATCCGCAATTGATGCTTCATTCAAACCCCTGACAATGTCCCTAATTTGCAACTAGGGAGAAAGCACGGCGGAAAATAGCGCGTTTCTGAAACACGTTCGCGTCACTGATCCGGAAGCAAATCTTTTAATTTCTGAAATAATGCCGATTCGAAGACAAATTCTTCCATTTCTAGATAGACCCGAAACGCACAGTATAAGCGGAATATCCAATTCACAGGGAATATTACAGTAATTTTTTGTGAAACAAAAAGTGCTTCACTCGTACGGGTACGTTAATGTCAATAATCTTAGTAATAATCTTTCAATAATAATTGCATTTAAGTGTAAGAATAATCAACACATCAATATTTCTCGATCACTCACAACGAACGAAACGTCAAGAAAATCTCGAGCAAATTTGCGTTTTTATCATTTTTATCATTTACAATACTATTGCAAAAATAAAAGTCGCTTATTTTATCAATAAAGAAGGAGTCTTGAAAAGAGATTGACGTGCCCTTTTACGTTTCACACGAAGAATAATGTATACTGAACACAGAGTAAGACTTCCGTGTGTTGTATGCTAAAGAAATAATAATTTAATTCAAGAAAGAAAATCCCGAGGTTCTTTTGTTGAAACGTAAACATTCTATTTCGTTATTTATTTCATTGTATATCGTTCCCCGACTCACAAAGAATTTTAATAAAGATGATTCCATTACACAATCAAAGGAGCCCGGATTTAAGTTCTTTCGTCCATACAGGCAAAAAAGTTTTCCGATCGATATATTCCTCAGAAAGCTTGGCCTCACAGCTCTCGCTAATTCTGGCGAAATAGTAATCAACTTTGCTCTCGCTACTCTTCAAAATTTCACGTACTGACGAACTTCCTGAGTCGAAATTGTGATTCTACGTTAATCCTGCAAATTCCGTCGAACTTGAAGGACTAATGGCGAATCTCCCTCGAGATATAACGCTGTACTGTACAAATTACTTAACGACATTTTCGACATGTTGAGATTTAATCATTTACGCTGGAATGTAACATGTGTTACATACACGATGGCTCTTTCGCGGAAAACAAAGATGACAAAAAAACGCGTATGCATAATTTATCCTTATGCAAGAAACTTGTAATGTTACGAAACGACCAAACTATTAAAAAGACACTTACGCAAGAACGTCTATGTGAAAATAATAACGAACAATTTGAACAAAATCTTAGGGAAAGCAAAAGGTTAAAGCGGGTCGTAATGCGTTGCGAAATTCTATGAACGGTTACTAGCGTAAATGATTAAAGAAAGAAAATTGAAAATTGCTACAATTGCTCCAAAACTTTTGTTATAAATATTTTTTAGAAAATAGATATAAATGCTCAATCTATATCTTTAACTTAAATATGTATTGTGATGCAATAATTGACCAATTTATTCAACTGCAGATAGAATATGTACGATAAACAAATATTAAATAATTAATATGGGTAAATAATCGGAATAATGGATAAATAAAACAAACACTACTTAGTCTGCTTAATGTTTCTTTTTCTTTGGCGTCGACAGTTTCGATGAGATTTGAAGTTCTTAAAGGATTGGGTAAGGAAAAAGCTGTAGAAACAAGATTAGTCTGTTCCGTGAATTGTGGTCTGTAACAACGCTGTGTGTAACGGTAAAAGTTTGAATTCGGATTCCACACAATAAACTAGAAGCGGAGAAGTAAACATTGGTAGTTCAGAATGGGATGTTTCTTACAGCACACTGAGCATCGTTCAGTGCGCTTGCTGTACTTACATCAGGTTTTTAAGACCGGTATGTATAGTTGTGTAAATTATGTACAATTCTTATTTGAGGCAATATAATCAATTTCAAGATTGTTTCTGTGTGCCGTCGCCCGGCTATTCGGATATAGAAAATTTCCTGTTGCGTAAAACAATGTAATAAGTATGAATACAAGTGACACGAGTGCTCGCAAATTTACGAAGCCTTAATTATTTGTCAAAATGAAGCTACAGTTATTTGCCCAATGATGACCAACTATGAATACCGGCTTAAATTTCGACTCGGGTATCTTATTCTTGGCAAGTTCGTCATATGTTAAAATCGGAGACATGCTGTGTCTTCCATGATAAACTATTCGACATATTTGGAGATACATACTTACGTAGTATGACGTATCGCTGCCGGCAGACATCGCATCCCGGCATCCTGTGTCACCGTCCTCAGCATCCTGATTCCTGGCTGCTCCCTTGCGGCACACACACACACACACACACGCATATCACCGATTCTCGCGTAGATCCGACTCGATCGGAGTAACGCGTGTTAATGAACGCGATATCAACGCGGCAACTCGGTGAAAAACTCGTTTTATATCGACGGGAATAGTAAACATCTCAACTTTCCCCCCCCCGACCCCTTTCGACATACAATCGCGCCACATCGCGCCTGTGTGTACGCCGATTCGGCACGCAACGACGCGGTCACGTGGCGCGCAAAAACAATAGGCGCGGTAAATGGCACTATCGGCGCTATCGAAATATTTGGGATTTTCGGCACGGCCGAAACTATCAGGATCGTGCGTACCGGAAATTTCGCATGCTGCACTTCACGATCGTCGTCGGGTAATCTGTGATCACTAATTAACATTGCGTTTCCGATCGAACCGTAGTTTCATTGTGGGAGTGCCTCGCCACGATGACAACCGGAGCCAACTCTAGGGCAGGATGCAGGAGCCGGGATGCAGCGGCATAATCGATGAGGAGGCTCACGTCTCCTCCTCTTACATCCTTGAATCCCTAAATCTCCTCGAAATTTCCAACGCCCATGAGAATAATAATAAAGAGATTGCGAGAGAAGATTCGTTATTTTATTTATCCACTTTCCTGTTACTTTCTAATCGTTTGTTGCATTGTTGAATTATCTAATATTTTCTTATCGTACACATATTCTATCTGCAGTTGAGTAAGTAAGTAATGTGATTGATGTACCTTTCGTTAAAACTAAACATAAAGATCAATGCGGATGAAATATTAAGACAACTGAGTGTTGAGATAATTTTTAAATAAGATCTTCATTAAATCACGGCATGGAGCAAATGAGAGAATAACGTGGAATAGGTAACTATGCATAATACGTAGTAACATCAAATAGCCTGATAATAAGCCAATTTTTTCCATCGGTTTATCAAGTTTAATGGAATTTGCAAATTAATGTAAAACCATAACTTTTACGCGTGTTTCGAAACAGAGAACATGCTTCTTTTTGGTAAAAAAAGTTTAGTAAAGAAAGTTACTTCGCGAGTTTTAATACGAACCACTCTCTCCCACCGTTGATACGGCATATGTTTTATATATTATTAAAAAATGTGAAAAACGCGGTGAAATAAAATTAAGAGAAAGCACGTATGAAATAAATTCAAATGCGTACAAATAAACGTTCTCTTTTTCTTTTTGCTTATTTAATTGTCGGTAGCGGAGCAGAGAGTTATAAAATTTAGACAGCGACGAGTGAAATTCGTTTATGCCGAGAACTATTTGATCGTGCAGCTTTGATAAACTTGACATACGAATTTGCTCATCACGTTTTCGACGCCGTCGAAAATATATTCGCAACAAGGGGGCTTTCAGAGAAATATCGTGCCGTAAGTTTTCAATTGTCGAGAACGTTGTCGCGTTAAGTAACTAAAATGGTTTCTCGCGCAAATGTTGCCGGTGCCCTCGAGAACTCGGGGGCGGGGGGGGGGGGGTTTCATCGCGGCGGACAGAAGAAGTGTTGTTTTATACACGCGGGGAAATTATATGCGCGCAATAGAATAGCTTGATACAACGGAATTACCGTTACTTAAACTTCGCGTCGCGTCTTTCAGTTACGCCGGAGAGTATAATCATACCCATCGTGTCCTGCATTCTGGGGTTTCCATTGCTGGCGTTAATGGTAATTTGCTGCCTACGGAGGCGAGCGAAACTCGCCAGGGAGCGAGCCCGGCGAAGAAACTGTGATTTGGATCATGGCGCACTGAGCCTCGTCCGTTTCAGCCCGGTTCATCGTGTGGGTGAGTAGCGAGTTTAAAAGTGAAACTAGGACACAGGCGCGGCGCACGCGGAACGGATATTTGCCGTATGAATAGAGACCCAAATCGTTCGCGCAAAATTAAATAAAGGTAGCTAACTGATCGCGATAGGATGGTGGCGAAACTGCTACGGGAGAACGGCTGGATGCGACGAGATTATACATACATTCAGTTTTTCATTGGATTTCAACTTGGTAATCCCCACGTGCCTAACGTAAAAAAACAAAAGAGAGAGAGAGAGAGGGAGAGAGAGAGAGAGAGAGAGAGAGAGAGAAAGATTAAAATACATATTTTGATAATTTCCGAATGTGTATTTTAACGCCGCGAGATTATTATGCTTGCAGATGTTTCGACGCACACATTTTTCCCGGAATACATTGCCTAACATTACACGGTAATAAAATATCGCACGTTGCAGAAATTTTCGATGTTCATTATGGCGAAACGGTGCGTACAGCGATATCGAGGCGCGTTAGCAATTTATATCGGTATCTATGAGTAATCGAGGAAATATGAAATTCGCGTTATTTCATTTATTGTTATTTTTGTCGTTTCAATAATGGCCGCGTTGTTTCTCTCCCTCGGATTTCTGATCGGCCGAATGCACGCACGCGCGCATAAATATCCGTACGTAAACGGAATAGTACGTAGGTAGGTAAGCATCATCCGGTAGTGTGCGCAGCTATTGGAATAAACATAAAGTGAACGGAAGAGGCGCACTAAAGCAGATTGAATGCCCATCTGCATAATCGGATTCTGTGTTCATGCACTGACAGTGGTTATTTTTAGCTTGAAACTACGCTAGAGACGTGCGTTCGGTACGGGCGAATGTTATATGCTCGAAAAATTCTCGAATGAAATGCTTCATGCGCTGCCTCGCACGGCCTTTTTAAATCGCGCCAATTCCGACTTTATAAAGTTCGCGGCACGGGGAGAACACGCGCGTACACGCGGAAACACCGCTCCTGGATTTACAGATTGAACGCGCGTCGCAGGTAAAATCGTACGTCGTCGCCGAGAAAGAACTTCCGCAAAAAGGGTCGATTTTTCGCCCGTTTTTTGGTCCTCGATTTTGGAGTCGAATTTTATGTCAAAAGATAGTTCATGATGAGACATTAATTACAGAAAAGTTTTACGTTGAGCATACGATTGGTTTCAAAGATGTAGAGGGTCAAAGTGGTCATTACCTACTAAGAATGACACTAAGAACTAACAACGCTTTACGGCAAGAATTTTTACAAAATTCGGTATCTATGGGTTCTTTGAGTTGCTGATTATGAATCTGATGTCAGATTTTAAAAATTCAAGGTTGCCGGTGCAACATGGCGTACACGCATAGTGAAACAATCATTTACTTTTATTGGAACTTTATTATGTTGTGGTTTTTCTTGGCTAGCTGATTGCGAATTTTCTATTAGGTTTTCGAAAGTAATTTTTTCAACAATTTTTTAGTAGAAAAAGTTTATTTTGTTTTTTCATAAAAGAAATATCAAATTCAAACTGATACGTTACATGATGCATAAAGGATAACGTGATAGTTTTATTTGTTATATTTAGAAGCTTATCTTGCCTTTATTGGCTGGATAACTTTTTCATCTTGCCTTCACCGGCTGGATAACATTTTTATCTTGCCTTCATTGACTGGATAACTTTTTCATCTTGCCTACACTGAAGGTAAATGTAAATCTGATAGAAAATTCGCAATCAGCTAGCCGAAAAACCCATAACCCCCAACATAACAGTTCTAATAAAAGTAAATAATTGTTTCACTATTTTTGTCCGCTATATTACATCCGCCATCTTAAATTTTTTAAATCTGACATTGAATTCGTAATAAGCAACTCCAAGATACCAACCTATAGATACTGAATTTCACAAAAATTCGTGCGATAAAACGTTATCAAGTGTCAAACTTCCTTAGTAGTGACCAATTTGACCCTCTGTATCTCTGAAACCAATCGTATGCTCAATGTAAAACTTCTTTGTGATTAATGCCTTATCATGAGCTATCATTTCGCATAAAATTTAATTAAAAAATCGGGGACTGAGAAACGAGAAACTTTTTTGCAGAGGTTTTTTTTCTGGCGCCGCCTCTGAAGGCACCTCCTTAAAATCGAGAGGTCGCGAGATCGCGACATGCGAAATGGATTCCATGCAGCACGCGGAAATAAATCTCACTAACCCGGAAAATCGCCGGCCCTCTTTCACGATATCGCGGCGAGACGGATCTGTCGCGGCTTCGTATCAAAAATGGAATCTTATGTCGCACTTGATAATCCATTTCCGAGGCGCGACGCGCCGTACGACGAGATACGACTTGGAGCCCGGGGCCCCATTTTTCTCGTAACCGTGCCGCGACGTCGTGGCCGCGTGAGGATTTCACGTGTGCACGTGAGCTTCCACGTGGCCGGAAATCGGTATCGTGGATCATCGCGTTATTATTCCGTCAGCTAGACGTCACCTCGCTCACTATCGAGTCGCACATCGAATCGGAAAAATTCCTCCTTATCCTTCTTTGTTGTTTGAACGATAGTTTTGCGCTGAGCGAGGGAGAGATACAGCGACGCTAAGCTAAAATGCGATTCTGATGTCGTTGCGGGAACGTTCGCATATTCTAATACACCTGCCGACTCGGAACATTTACATATCGTTTTACGGGCGCATCGATAAACGATCGCATTGCTCGGGCAAATTTATTCACTTTATCGTCACCCCAAACTGCCTGCATAAATTGCCGTGACGCTTGCAATTAATATCGCGTGTATTGTATGAATAATCTGTCTAATTTAGAATACGTTTGCCCTATATATTACGGTGCTAAAGGCCGACTTTGATGGACGGTTTTTGTTAAAATCTTTATGAACTCCTGTGAGTTTTAATCCACGATAATTGAGGATATTTATTTAGCACCAAGCCAGCCAATTATTGGAATTTATCGGACGTAATAATAACACATTTGCACGAATGATGCACGTTATATGAAACATCCGCCGATATAATATCAGGGAAATTTATTTGCAATAATTTTTTCGCATGAAAACTTATTTCTCCAGGCTGAAAATATAATTGTAAAACGCGATATGTCGATATGAAATTTCCCGATATTTTTACATCGGATTTATTCATTTGAGTTCATTCATGTCGCTATTTCGCAATTTGCTCGTACACCCGCACATCTAAAAATATACACACGTTAAAATAATCCCAGCGCTACGATAGCGCATTCCTGTCATGAATATTACAATGCGGTGCATAATAGAAATATGGGAAAACGCGTGGTAGAAATAAAAATAAAAGGCCACGGAATGACATTAAAGTCGCGCGCGGGGCACGCGAGAAATTCTCATCAAGCGGCAAGGCTCTCGCGATGTATTCGGATTTATAACTCGCGAACTCGTTATAGCGTGTCGACGGGCACGCGAAAGAAGAAAGGATCGAGAGGTCGGGCGACGCGTAACGCGGCCCGAGCGCGGCCGAAAGGCGGATTTATTTCTTGCACGTACTACTCTAAGCACGTTCGGCCGCTGGCAAAAAAGTTTTTCTATATCCCCGTCGCGAAGTCTATGTCCCCTTGCGTACAAGGCGCCGCCCCACCGCGTGTCCACCGCGACCGCCGGTCGACCGAGGTCCCGATTTATGACAATCGAGGGCCAGTAGACGGTCGTTTGGGGTCACTGTCTTAGGGTGCGCATAATAGCCCAAGTATGAAATTTATCGTTCGAAACTAACGAGGGAGGGTCGGGTCGCGTCGGCGAAATGCGAAAGGCGGACACATATTATATGAGTATCGCGCGGCCGGAATGTGCGCGGATGCTCGACTTTCCGTTGAAATTTTCCCGCGACGAGCAAAACACCGTTTGAGCGTGTCGCGGTTATTATCGCGTAGCGCACGGCGCGTTCGATTGTCGTCACAACCCACAACACAATCCCGGAATACATCTCGTGACGATGACAACGTCGCGAATCCTCCGCACACACCGATACGATGCGCGCGCGAAATACCAACGGGAATATTAAATAACGCCGAAGATCAATATCGTTTAATTAATTACTTCGCCAAACGAGTTGACCAATCGCAACGTACAACGCACGCACACTTTCGAGGGGGAATTAAATTTCGCTAGGCGGACACGCGAAAATTCGACGCATTAAAATATAAGGCGCATTAAAATATAAGAATAAGAACGGCCAATAACCTTGTATATTTGGTTACGACACAAAATGCATATATTTTTCAAGTAAAGCCATACTCAGCGAAAGCTAAAATCTCCGCCCTGAGAATAAAAGCGTCGTTCACGTTCGTTTGTTGTTGGCAAACGCAGCATCGAGAGAGGACTTAGGTAAAATATAACGTAGTTCTAGTAGTTCGTTTCTAGAGATCTGTGCTCGGATATGCATCTCACGGAAATTATCATTTTTGTTCTCTCATTCTCTTCTTTCTTTTTATCGTTTACCACTTCTCCCTGTATTGTTTACGAATGCGAAAGCGCACGCTGGCCGCATCATATCGTATGATTTGATTAATATCAAGCTAGAAAATTAATTAAACTTGTGCGAGAATGTTGGTGAAATGCAAGCTCATGCAACGTCAAATTTGTATGCATTGCAAAATATTTGAATAAATGCTTGAGCGTATCAAGGGAGAGAAGAGTTATCCTTCGTTATACTTCATTTATTTCGCGGGAATACAAATCTGCTCGTCGCTGCGTCTTTCTCATGGTTTGCTCTCGCAAGAAGAGAAAAATCACGGTAAATCAGATTTGCATGGTTCGTTTGCATAAATTAGCTTCGCCAGCGTAGGAATCTTAGATTCTCCTAGCTGATTTAAGTAGAACTTTCCGGCGTGGAAAGTTTCTCGGTCGACGTATTAGCAGATTGAGTCTCCGGTAGATATACGTAGATATAGATATTTTTCGGAAATTTCGAAAATATATATATATATATATATACAGAGTGTCCGAGTTTTTTTGGAAACGAAAAATTGTGAAGATTAATCAGATCAAACTGAAAAGAAAAGTCAAGTTATCATTTTGCAAAAATCGCAATAGTTATGAAGTTATCGATGATTGAAAATGAAATTGAAAATTAAAAACATTTAGAATTAAAATATAAAAATAATAATGGCAAGTAATCTCGTATACTTGGTGAAATCCGTTACGACACAAAATGCATATATTTTTCATTGTCCCTTTAATTGATAACCTTAATTAAAAATTTGCGTACTTATTTGCAAAATGGTAAAGGATTTTTTTATTCAGAACCTAGCTACATTTATATGACGGCTATTACATCTAGCGATAAATATGAGTATATCTTGAACTTTGAACTCTGAATTTTGAACCTGTCGCTAGGCACAATAGCCGTCATATAATTGTAGATTAGGTCATTCGGAACAAAAAAGTTCTTTACGTTATTTTGCAAATAAGCACACAAATTTCCAAATTATCAATAAAAAAAGCCTCTAGATGCGATTATTTTTAATCATTAATAATTTAATGACTATTGTAATTTTTGCGAAATAGTACTTGATTTTTCTTCTTAGTTTGATCTCATTAATCTTCACAATTTTTCGGATCCAAAAGACCCCGGACACCTTGTATCATATAACGTTCGCTGAAGCAGAGCGGTTGTGACAAACAACAAAGAAGAGGAATAATTTTTTATTCCTATTACATCAAACGCATTCGCACGTTATTATTAATTGCTGCAACGCGTTAATCCTTTCATTACGGATGCGAATGTAGGTTGAGAGTGCTTATATTCCTCACTGGATATATTTCATATGGCAGTATGTTTTATTAATATAATTGAGAGGATAGTTCTTTCTTTCTCGAATCGTGAATGCCATTTCATTCATTGCGAAACGAATTAGTCGTATTGCCGTGCAGTATTTTCGACTTTTGACGCTTTAGATCAATTATATATGTAACTCGCGCCAGAATTCACGGTAAAATCCTATCTGCAGTTGTACATGTGTACAACTGCAGTCGTACAAACACAAAGAACGTTCGAAAACGTGTGTAAATATACGTATATATATATGTGTGTACCTACACACAACCAAACTTGTGTATTGCAATTTTGATCAATCGTATATGCTTTCATATAAATGCAGTTTTGTCGCGAACTTAATGAATGGTCTAAGGCGTTTTAAATCGCGACGATGATTCACCCCGAAAAGACGCGTTATATATGCATTTCGGTCATTATATCTCGCGTCGTTAAAACTTTTCGGTGCGAATGCGTTTGAACAAGTTTAAACAAGGTACCGTAACAACGCTCGATCGCTCACCGACATGTTTCCGCAGCTGGTGTGGATCGTCAAACACGTACCGTGTCCTTACGGAGCGAACGAGGATCGCGAGCCTTTCCATCCCTGGAGCTGGACACGGTCGTCGAGGAACGTTCGGATCCTGAGCAAAGCACCGCGTTGGAACTCAGTAGCCCAGATTAGCATCCGGCCCCGGCGCCGTCGAGGTAATGGCGCCAATCGCGAGTTTAGACAACTTCCGCTGTCACGGCGGAACTTCCACTTGAGTGCAGAATGATACACTTTCTGCACCTACGTAGGTTAGGTTAGGTTAGGTTAGGTTTCTGCATCTAAATACAAATGAGATAGATATATGTATACTTAAAACTTAGCGGGGTTACGAGAAAGAGTGAGAGAGAGAGAGAGAGAGAGAGAGAGATGATGAGAGAGAAAGAGACTGTTCTGGAAAGCGCGGTTAAAACGAACGGATATCGAATACGTGCTACGCATCTCAAAGGATGCAGGATGATATCGTATTTCACGCTACCCAGTCGAAAGCGCAAAAATATTGGAATATCGGGAAATGAAAGATCCAACACGCTATTGTAGCCAACGCACCGATGTATCTCGTGTACATTAATAGCGCGTTATTTTCTGTTCCACTGTTCCAGCAGGTCGCCGCGACCATCCAAATCCTTGGCGGTGCCATTGCCCGTAGATCACAGCCCGTTGTGGACGGCTTTGACGCACGCTAATGCGGTCACCGCGGCTTTGGGAGATACCTAGCAGGAAGTGGAAGACGGCAGCTATATCGAAGCTCTCGTCCTAGATCTGCCAATCATCTACTAACTGGCGGCCATTCCTTCCGAAAAGCAAGATCTCGACGTAGGAATGTCGGAGGAAGACTGGATAGCTTGAACACTACCATGCGCGATAACGGTTGCGCGATTAATACGTAATATCTCGTAGAGAGAATTGTCGTGAATGAAGTAAACTTTAGCGACAAAACAGACATAATTAGGACATTGGGACAGTGGAGCATCGCGCGTTCTTTGCGCGTTACGTGCTCAACGTGCCGATCGAGACGCATGTGGAAAATTTTGTACTACTTCCTACTTACCACTCGCGAGTACACGGCTTTTTATACGATAGTCGTAATCCCAAACGTACGTAGCCGTAGGAAATAGCTGGTCTACGGTACGAACGTGTCGATGTGAATACAGATTCTTTCATGTACAAACGGAGAAATCAGAATTATACAAATAAAGTATTATTCGTGTCTGTATTATTATATACAGGACGACATTGTACGCAGGTGTGTTATTCATTGAGAATTTATCTAAATATACCAATTTCCAGATCTTCTTTTTTCTCCTTTTTCCTCTTCAAAGATACAAAAAAATTACGACACAATCAGTTTCGTATATCTGTATTAAGTCTGTAAACAAAATGTTTCTTGACAAAAGATACTTGTACTAGAAGGTAAAACGATTTCGACCTTATATAAATCTTAATTAGAAATGAGATTTATAATTCGTATTAAACAGAAACTTAATAACCAGTTCTGTACATGTAGTTTCCAAGGAAATTCTACTACATTCTGTCGTTTGGCACATTTATATTCATAATTAAAAAAATAGTCCCATTAAAAAACATAATACAGAGTGAATTTATCGCACAAGCTGTATTTGTGTAAAAAATTTAGTGTTTAAAATCCAGGTATCACACGTCCTTTCTTCGCTGCCTTCTTCAATTTGTTCAGTTTCTTCTCTTTTTTCCTCTTCATGATATTTTCTCTTCGTTTGTCTTGCCTCTCCTGTTTGGATTTTTGCACATTTTCTATCCTGGCATCCCATTTTTTAGCACTATGTCTCTTTTTTTGTTCTTTTCGTTTTATACTACGTTTTAACAACTCTGAATCATCTTTGACCTATCAATAGATACAATTAAATATAATAATGTATAACAGATATGACAAGAGAAAAAAAAAGATAAGAGTGACAAGTTTATAGCATATCTTATATATACACAAAATTAAATACACCATATTTTACTCTAAACAGATTCAATATAATATTTACTATATAATATACAATAGTACAATATATTTATAATAATATAAATAAAAATAGAATAATTTTATTATGTCAGATATCGCAGTAATAGAAGAAGGTCGTTCTTTGTATCAAATAAGCACAATTAAGGAAAACTTACCTTTTCACCGTTTGCTTTCGCCAATGCAGCTTTCCACGCATCCTTTTCCTTAATCTCCTCTGCTTTCTCTTTATCACCCGATTCTTCTAATTGCTTTATTTTTTCTTTCTTCTCTTGCAAATGTTGTAAAATTTTTTGAGGATTACTTTTGGGCAGTTTCTTCTTCATACCAATCTCAGAGAAGTCAAATTTACTAAATACCATTTTACCCTGTGAATTGAATACTGGTTTTGGCTTTGGAATTTTTGGTGTTTCCTTATCATTAGTACTTAGTTGACTAGAACCAGCAGCATTCTGTTCAGTCCTAGCAAGTTTCTTTTGTAGCATGCGTTCTTCTCTTTTGTTTTTCTTCTTGATTTTGTTTTTCAACTTCTTTTTAAGAAGTTTCTGCTTATAATCCAACCGTTTAGCAGCCTTCAATTCCTCCAATCTTGTATATAAATCTTCAAAATTTTTTGCCCTATTTACTTTTTTGACTGGCATCTCGTCTGTAATAGAAATATATGTATATATATAAAAATCGTACAATGTGTCACAAAACAAACCTTAAGAACAAGTCTATTTTGTATCAATGTTGGATAAATATAAAAATAACCTTGTTTCACCAAGTTATCATCTTTTGAGGGTAGGTACTTCCGCTTCTCTAAATTAAAATATAAATTTAAGTATACTGTAAATATATAACAGTTATAACTTTTTGAGGTTATGGTATTAACTTAAAAATACTCTTACCTAATTCGTGCATTGGTAACGGCATTATAGAGAAAATATCTGCAATAAATTTGTCTTCTTCTAATAACATTTGACGTACTGCTTTTTTGTCGAATTTTGTCTTCGACATTGTTAATTGCATCTCCTTGAAAACACACGTGTACCCGAAATGCGCTAAGAGAATGTAAATAATCCTCCAACTATTATAGGTTATGATATCGACGAACGATAATCAATGTTCCAGTCATTCTCGAATTTATCTTAAATTTTTGACTAATCAATATCAAGATTGATACATCTTTATTTTCAATTTAAAAATAAAGTTTCATCGTTAAACCTTACTTGTATGTACCTTACTTAAACGTACATTTTATATTTCAATTGTTTCAAACTGTGTTGAAATTTTTAAAATTTCAATAATATATATAACTTTTATATTCTAATAATTTATTTATATTATAAATTTTAATAATAACTTTTATATTTATATTTTATATTTATATTATTATATTGTCAGCACAAGAAAACATTTAGGCCGCGTTTCGTTTCACGCATATGCGCGCATTTATATATAGTTCATGTTACGTATACTGTAGAAAATGCACGCATATTGCGTGAAACGGAACGCAGTCTTAATTTCTCGTGTAGTAAATAGAGAGTTTGCTCTTTTGAACTAAATTTCTTTATTAAAATAGATTAACAATTAAACATTTTTTTAGTAAAAATAGACGTCTAGAAAAACAGTTAATGTATATCATTAAAGATCGTATACTAATCGCAAAGTCATCTTCTCTCTCAATAATACACTTATCTATGCATGTGTTTTAATACGATAAATACACACGAAAAATAGTTTACCCATATTCATAAATATATTATTAAATTTCTTTACGTGTCTAGATGTAGTTGGACGTAGCGTTAAGCTACGTCAGTACACCTAGCGTTATCTAGCGGTGTTTCGGTGTAACCGATGTATTCGCATGAATGAAATCCAATTTTTTTTAAATTAATATCATTAATATAATAAATTCAGATTACTCTGAATTTTAAAGACGCTAGTACTTTAAATCATTTATAATTTGTAACAGAATTTACGAAAGAACTCTACTTGTAATTCCATATGTTATACAATATAAAGAACGTTTACAAATATATATATATATAATATGTATATATATAATATAATATATAATATAATATATATATATAATATGTAGCTGTGTATATGCATGTGTGTGTGTGTGTGTGTGTGTGTGTGTGAGTGTATCTATGAGGGTAGTCTCAGAAGTACCCGACCTAACAAAGAAAACACAAAAAATTTGGGAAGAAATATCTTTATTTCTCTACATAGTCTCCTCATAGCTCAATACACTTTTCCCAGCGATGTTCAATAACATCGATACCCTGTTTATAGTGGGAATCGTCGAGCTCCTCAAAATAGCCATCAACCGCAGACTCCACCTCTTCATTGTCAGCAAATCTTTTACCACCGAGCCATTTCTTCAAGTTTGGAAACAGAAAATAATTCGAGGGGGCTAAATCTGGCGAATAGGGTGCGTGAGGAAGCAATTCGAACTTTAACTCATTGATTTTGGTCATCGCGATAACGGATGTGTGAACTGGTACATTGTCTTGATGAAACAAAACTTTCTTTTTCGCCAAATGCGGCCGTTTTTTCTTGATTTCATCACTCAAACGCTGCGATAAGTTCGCATAATACTCGCCTTTGATTGTTTTTCCTTTCTGAAGATAATCAATGAAAATTATCCTACGCGCATCCCAAAAAACTGACGCCATGACCTTGTCTGCAGATGGAACTGTCTTCGCCTTCTTTGGAGCCGATTCTCCCCTTCCAATCCATTTTGACTGTTCCTTCGTCTCAGGTGTGAAGTAATGGACCCATGTTTCATCCATGGTTATGAATCGACGCAAAAACTCGGCTTTATTGCTACGATACTTCGCCAAACACTCGATTGAAACATCCTCACGACGCTGTTTTTGTTCCAGTCGCGGCACCCATCCCAGCTTTCTCATGTCCAAATTTTCAGTTAATATTCGATGTACAGCACTTTTGGAAATGCCTATCATGTCTGCTAACTCGCGCACTTTTAGTCGACGATTATCCAATACCATTTTGTGGATTTTCTTCACCATTTCTGGCGTGGTCACCTCATTTGGTCGACCACTGCGATGTTCATCTTGGCAGCTCGTTTAAACTCTGCCACCCAATATTTGTATAACTGTTTTACTGTAAACGAAGCAGCAGACTCCCCCAGAGTAGAATCTAGCTCTGCTTTGATATTGGTTGGAATTTTTTGCATGTTTACAAATTCACTGAGAGCGTTCACTATTGATGGCTGCTAAACAAATACTAAACAGCGTAGCGTCGTCAAACTTCAAACTTAAGCTTTATAAGGTTGGTACTTTCTACCATAGTCATTGGCCGCGTTCAGTAGAACAAAGTGATCAGAGAGTGCTTAGTGATTATTGTCTGTGATTGGAGCATTCTTTTAGATTCTTCATAGACCCAGAAGTATTTACCAATCAGGAGCGAGATTCAGTGGAAAATCTAGTAATGTTGTCCAACTGTTGAGTCTGCTGAATGCAGCCATTGGCTGCGTTCAGTAGAACAAAATGATCAGTGAGCGCTTAGTGATTATTGTCTCTGATTGGAGCATTCTTTTAGATTCTTCATAAACCCAGAAGTATTTACCAATCAGGAGCGAGAATCACTAAGCGCTCACTGATCACTTTGTTCTGCTGAATGCAGTCATTCTTTTCAAACAACAACCGCCACCTATACGTCAGGTCGGGTACTTCTGGGACTATCCTCGTATATATAATCGTATTTCTGTAATAACTTCTGTAATACTTTCACATAAATACAGTTGTCGTGAGTAATAAATTATCTTAAATGGACTTGTATCACCAAATAGTGTTTATCTTGAAGAGATATATATTATTCTATGCATTACGGCTATTATGCTTTGAAACTTCTCGATGTAGCGCGAATACTTTGAACAAAATTTGACGAAGTTAACCATAACGACGCTTGATTATTCATGATATGATGTCGTTTTCGTTGATATAAATAGTCAAAACCTTACCGGATTTTTACGAAGAAAACAAGGGCCGCAAACTTGTCCGTCTCTGGAGCTAGATAGAGTCATCGAGAAGCGTTCAGGCTTCAGAAATTCAGACCCCGCGCTGAAGTTCGTAGTCCAAATCGGCTCCGACATCGGTCATGTTCCAAAATTCACTGTCAACGCGGAAAAGTTATAATTTGTATGACGCAAACTATATATATTTTCAGTACTGGCAGTGAATTTTGGAACACGGTCTTCGTTGAGCCAATTGCCAATTGCAAGTTCGGACAAGTTCGACGTCGCAACGAATTATAAATACTTCCACTTCAGTGTAGAATGGTACACTCTCTGCACCTTAACTGTTAAGATCGATGAAAGTATTTCTTGTGCACTTTTACTAATATTTTCAAAGTCTTTGATACATATATATATATATATATATATATATATTCATGTTTTGTAGATCACAAAGAAGAAATCTCTACGTTTCATCTGTGGATGTTAAATTTCGTGCTTGGGTTACGGTCAATAGTTTTACTTTTACACCGTTGGATGGCGAAAGTTAACCGTTCTCTATGCTCGAAGTGTTTCTCATATCACCGCTAGATGACACTAGATGATTTTTAGTTGTTAAGAAAATGCATCTCAGAACGCACATTTGTTACAACTGTACTTCCGGATTACACTTTCACATATGTTTCTACACTGAAAATAAAAAAAGTATATAAAAAATAAAAAATTTGTAGTATATACTATTGGACAATATTCAATGAATATTAATGATATATTTATTTAAATCTAAATTTTTGTTTTAAGCAGAACAAAGGATGTTGCTAATATGTTGTTTGCCATCTAGTTTTCTTCTAGAAGAATCTAGAATTTCTCCCTTCCTTTCACTTCCTTCCCTCTCTTCCCTTCTCAGGCCCTATATAAAGGAAATTCTTGCGAAGGAACGATCCTTTCAAGTCGTCCCTTCGTGCCGTCAGGAATGTTCACGAAACATCGGAAACAAAGCCACGATGGTCCTACGTGGCAGCAATTCTGCAGCTACGTAGCTCAAACATTTCTCCACGCTGCAGAAGCCTAAAATATCGTATTATTCGTCATCATTAACACGTTTACTATCAAGATTGCTATTCAGATTCAGATAAAAATTCAACACAGATCATTCCGTATTCTTTTCTCCTTTTGCCATGAATTGGAACAAAAACTTCGTATAATAATTCTAGTCTATCATATTTAATACTGTAAAAAGAAGAAATTAGTGTGGCAAATACGTATAACTGATGAAAGGAAGAAACTAAAATGTTGAAATCCGACTAAACTATGGAAAATATCGTGAAAAGAGTGATGAATCCAATATTTCTATTGAATTGGAACAAGCTTTGTGTGATAATGAATTTTTATTATTTAATACGATAAAAGGAAGAAATCAGTGTGATAAGCAGATACAACTGATGAAAGGAAGAAAAAAAAGAAGAAACCAAAATGTTGAAATCCGACCAAACTATAGAAAATATTGCGAAAAGAGTGATGAATCCAATATTTCGATTGAATTGGAACAAACTTCGGGTGACGATGAATTTTTATTATTTAATACGATAAAAGGAAGAAATCAAGTGTGACAAGCAAATACAACTGATGAAAGGAAGAAAAAAAAAGAAGAAGAAACAAAAATGTTGAATTTCGACTAAACTATGGAAAATATCGCGAGAAGACTGATGAATCCAATATCCGAATACAAAATAGTGGTCCACGTCGCTTCTACAGTTTGCCAGAAATCTCTTCAATTAATTGGATTCCAAGCAGTGCTCAGTTACAGTCGAAAATGGTTTTTGTTCTCCGATTTCTTCGATGTCTTCGATGTCTTCGATGTCTTCGATTTCTTCGACGTCTTCGATGTCTTCGATTTCTTCTCAATTTCTTCAGTTCTGTACATTGAAGAAGTTAGCATACTTTCTCAAACGCAGTGCACGGGGAACTGATGCAGCCACTTACTTGTCCATCTTCTCCTTTCTTGCATTTCATCCAATTTTCTCACGTTTATATAAATCTTGGATGTCAAATGCAGCACGTTGTTTGGCGATTTTTTGTCCATCTGGCTTAGTTTTACGTGCTTCAA